AGCCTGAGGCTTTGCAAGTTTGTGTGCAATACGAAGGCTGCTGACAGGAAGTCTAAAGTACACTCATGCATTCTGTTCGGGAAGAAGCATTGGCATAGATTCATTTCAATCTGGAATGAATCGCGGACGCTCGCTACATCATAGTTGTTGACACGACTTCCAGTCAAGATCTGCGTAGCCATGGAACAACTGGCCGCTTTGCGCAGCAAGGCCAGCGAAGCGTTGAACAAGTTAATGCTTTGCGTCAGGCCAGCAAATCTTCATGATCCTTTTCCTGCTGCTGAGGCCTTGGGCTACAAGCTGAAGAGGCAGTCCCTGCCTCCCCGGGATGTCGCCGTGCCGCTGCGGATGACGTCAGACTGCACGGGCTATGGATCTGTGATGCAGGCCGTGGCCCACTTGGGTTTACGGATTCATTGTGTGCAGTGCAGTGAAGTTGACACGCAGAAACGCATCGTGACCGAAGCTGTTCGCAAGTACCTTTGCTGTGAGTCCGGAAAGATGTATTATGACTTGCGTGATCGCGTGGGGGACTTGAAGTCTCAACTTCCAGGACCAGGAGTAGTCGACTTGCATGAAGGCGGCTATCCATGTCAGAGCTTTTCTAGACAGGGGCTTCAGCTTGGAGGAGATGACGAGAGAGGTCAGCTCCTGCTTCATGGAGTAGAAGGCATCCTGCTGAACCAGCCCCGCCTCATCTTTTTGGAAAATGTTGCGGATCTGGCTTTGAATGCCAAGCACAAGGACTTCTTTCAAGGGGTATTATCGTGTCTACGCCAAGGTGGTTATGTTGTCAGCTATCAGGTCATCAGCGCTCTGGATCATGGCCTTGCGCAAAAGCGTGAACGACTTTACATCATAGGGTGCAGAACGGATCAGAGCCTGTGTCCCGTCTGCAATATGATGGGTATGGTCTGGAATGAAGTTTCTCCGTGCGCCTTATCGTGGGCGGCCCAAGCACAGTCGAGGATAGGCCGAAGCCTTCAAGCATAAGAGCAGGCAGACACACACACACAGACACACTCATTTAAAAAATACATTAACTAAATTAAATAGATAAATAAATGAATATATATATATATAAATACATATTCATATATATATATTAACAACATATGAATACTTGTGGTTATGTATTCATTTATTCATGTACAGATATTCGGACAGACATACATACACAAATGTATGCCGCGCATACGCGGGAAGCACAGAAACAGGCCGATAACCAATGACACCAACAAACTCATATATCAAAGTACACACATACTTAGAAGCACACATACACACGTACGTACATACATACATACCTACCTACATACATACATGCAGCCATACAGAAAGACGCACGGACGGACGGACGGAAAGACAGAAATACACACATGGACACAACCGGGCCCACCTAGGTACATACCAGAAATTGACAGCATGAATGCACACATGCATTTATGCAGACAGACATACATGCGTATGTATACACACTGTCTGTAATTATTTGACATGAGTCATACCAGACGTATCGCTTGCAATCTGTAGCGTGAGACATGTCAATAGTTAGTCTTGTGTGAACGTAGCGTGCGATTGAGTTTTCATTGCAAGATGTGGTTTCTGTGTCCGGGCATTAGGTTGCGGAGCAGTCGTCCTGTGACTGGCAGTCTGCGCCGCCTAGAGGTGTTGTTTGTGCGGAGATCCAAGGCGGGAAAACCTGACATGGGTCTGGCCCGAGAAGATGACCCCGATTCCTGTGCAACACTTCCTGAAGATGGACGTGAGTCCCCTTGTCGCCCAAAAGCGACACACCCGCGTATTCAAGTCGAACCTGAAGAAGGCACCTGCCTGGCATGATAAGGTTCAATAGTGCCTGTGTTATAAGCCACAAGACTTCAGACCGTCACACCCAAGGCGAGAGCAGCGTGCAAGGCTCGCGGCTGGGACATGCAAAGCAAGTCGAGTGTCGTCATTGTGGACATGGGGGCCAACAGGAACAACATGTAGCGTGGCTACTTTCCGACCATCACAGCGACCCGTGGCTCCAACAGGGATTATCTCGTGCCGGGCCTCAATCGATTCGCGGATCTTGAAGAAATGTCCCGTGTGCAGGGCCTCTTGGCTGCGCTTATCGTTGGCCCACGAGAGTGGCATCCTCGACTGTCGCAGTGGTTGGTGAAAATGCAGACATGTAACTAGGAAGTCTTGTCGCGCAGGCATGGACCCCCGTGTCTGGCACGAGTGTCTCATGATATCGGGGGCTTCGGCGTCCACACTGGGACACTGCATCGGGAATGCCATGCCGATTGCAGTTTGTGAGCGCATCTTAGCAAGGCGATGCATTTCCACAGCTAACAAGTCAACAAGATATTTCGAATGTCTGTCGCAGGCTTTTCTATGCCGCGAAGATCTTGCCTTCTCTTCCTGCTGATCGCTGGTTGGAGGCTTCTCGGGTGACATTCGCAGATGGCGGTGGGGGCTTTTGGGTAGAGGCCGGCCGGAGGTCGAAGCTTCGGGGAAACTTGCCCCGGTGAGGACAAGTCGCCATGATGTACAGACGGAGCCTGCTCTGCCGAGAAGGGGTCGATGTCGGCGGGACAAATGCTGTGTGAGTCTCGGGCAGATTTCGTGCAAGTTTGCGGGGGTCGGAAGAGCCGTGCTTGTGCATCCGGCATCCTTTACGTGCGTTGCTTCCTAGCTCGACCCAGCCCTTATCAAGCTCCGAAGAGTGTCTCTGGTGAGGTTTTTCCATAGTACCTCACGAAAGACAGCGGTGGCAGCCACCGCCGTCGCCGGTAGGGTTGTCCCTGAGGACCTTACGAAAGACACCTTCAAGACTATAATGCTCCAAGAGTCATGGGGACAACCGTCGTTGGTGAGGTGGTTCCATAATACCTAACGAAAGACAGCGGTGGCAGCCACCGGCGTCGCTGGTAGGGTCCCTCCCAAGGACGCCACAGAAGACAGTGATCCTGGGACCCAGCCCTTTTTGAGCGAGTCCAGCGGCATGGCACCGAAGCGTCAGAAGAAGACGCCAGCCGCAGCATCGGCAAGCGCCGCTGTTGAGCCGGAGCAGGTCCCTTTCTGCAAACATGTTTGATCGGATGTGCTGTTTCCCGCACAATAGTGGCCGGTAACCTGACAAGTGAACTTTGTGCCTGGGCAGGAGCTTTGCCGGGAGGCTGTGGAGGCCACGAAGGAAGCTTTGGAGTACCTGCGAGCGAACCAGGACTTCCCGCAGAAGAACAAGCGGGTGCCGGCGTCGTCTGGCATCCAGTCGTTCCCGCCGAACTGGGCGATCCCTGCGGAGCCGAGGGCCATGAACTACATGGGCACCCTCGGCGACATCGACTTCCTCTCGCATCACAACTGGGCGAGCAAGGCGGAGCTCGAGACCTCGGCCACTTTCTGGTATGCCAGCGGCAACCTAGAGCTGGGCATGATCCGGGTCATGGGCCAGCAGAAGGACAAGAGGCGCTTGCATTAACTTGAAGTTGTGGTGCAAAAGTTTAAAACAAGAATATTTCTTTTTTTAGTGCCATGCGCAGGGGGTCTTTGACTGTGGCAGACAACTGGCTGAAGGTGGCCAGCTTTCTGTATCAGTGGTACCGCGAGGCGACCGCTGCGAGCACATCGGCTGCCCGATTGGAAGCATTCAAAGAAGTGGCCTCCTCTGTCCACCTGTCGGTGCTCCCCGTGCCTGCCAGTCCACTGCAGAGGTTACTTGTCTTACTTTAGGTACCTCGCTTCCTTCATCAACAAAAGCTAATATAATAAGTACGAGAAGGGCTAGGAATATTCTTTCTAGCTGGGTTACATGGCATGCCAGGTACTGGAAAGTGTACCAAGAAGGCGAGAATATCCAGCAAGAAAACTTGGAGATCGGAAATCACCTGGCGCTGCGCCTGGCGGAGAAATTTTCCGAGTTCCCTGACTGAAAACAAGGCAGCTCGTTCTCAATGTTGAATCTTGGCATTCTGAGGCTCAAGGGCGTGATGAAGGGAATGGGGAAGGCAACTACAACTGACGCCCTGTTTGAGGAGCTACAGGAGGCCACGAAGAGAGGGACAGTCGTGGCTGCCACGAAGGATTCGAAGATTTCGTCCTCGGACGCTCAGGTCTACTTTCTGTTAGATGGTGACTTATTATGAAGCACCCTTGGTTTTCCTAGGTTTACTGGGGAGCTCAGGACAAGATCCGGAAGCTGTTGCGGCTGTTGGAGGTCGCGCAGGAGGCCGGCACCTACTCCCTCCTGAAAGCCGGTCAGGTCGTCGCCGGCGAGCGAACGTGGATCGGGAACTGGAGCACATGCTGCAGGCTGCCGGGTTTCGTGGCGGACAAGAGCGACTTCAGGATCTGCGTGCAGATGCTATTGTACTCGATGCTCCCGGAGAAGTCGCCAGTGGTGCTGCAGCGCAAGTTCAGGGCGAAGGACCTCCTTCACTTGTCGGCGGCGGCCTTGAAGGACTGCGTGGACACGATCCTCTTCACAAAGAGCATCATCCAGCAGCTTGCGAAAGAGCACGACCTTCCGGCCGAGGATCCGCATCGGCAGCTCTTCCGCGATGCCCATGCCCGCTTTGAGGACGTCGAGTCCTATGCCCGGTGTCCTGTAGTGGACGAAGGCTGGCACCGTGAGGGAGGAAGAAGTGACGTTAGCACTGAGTGAGTATCAAACCCTAAACCCTAAACCAATACCATACCATTGAGCGTAACTTGCCCGACACCGTGAGGCATTTTTTCTCCGCCCTGCATCGCAATCTTGAACCTCATGCAGCAGCTGTTTACCGGCCAGCATGACAACGTGCTGAACCAGGTGCTCGCGGTCCACGGTGCCGCCAACCTCGCAACCAAGCTGTCCGACCCCAGACTTGCTGCGATCCTAAAGGGGCCTGCGCAAGCGACTCTTGTCTAGAGACCGTCACGCACTTCTCTCTCTGATTAGGATTTTTGGGTCCGGTCCAAAACTAATCAAGTCTATCAGTGTTCAGGTGGAATCACTTCTATGCGCCCAGGGCAGCAGTCCCCGTAGCAGCGGAGGCCAATCCCGCGGCCCCAGAGGAGGCAATCGAGTTGGACTCAGAAGAGTCGGTGCCCAGTGCGCCAGGGCCCGCCCGGGAGGACTTGATCGCGCAGGCGGCAGCGGCTGAGCTCAAGCTCTTTGTGCAGTGGCGCATCTTCAAAAGCGACGGCGACCCCGGTGCGCTCATTGCGGAGCTGTGCGGCAACCGCACGGTCCTAGCTCTCCCAGTGGTCTCTTTTTCTGGTGTTTGTGGTATGGGATCTATTATTGGAATAATGAACCTACTCTGTTGGAAGAGGGAGCCTTTCTATTCCTAGGTGATTGCACCGCTTCCAAACGAGACGAAGATGATCATCCACTGGGACCCGTACCAGGAATATGAGGTGTCCATGGCGTACCCTATGCATCCAAATAAGTCCTTTTGCGTTTGGCGATCTCATAGTCCGTTTAAATAATTAATACAACCCAATGATCGAGACCTTCTGAATGCAAGGGTGCTGCGCGACTTAGGTACAGCAAAGGACACAATCCATGGACCAGGAGTCCCAAAATCTCCAAGGATCGTATTGCCTTCATCAAGCAGGTCGCGCTGGGGCTCTGCGCAGAGGAGCCCTTCGGTCACGAGGCGTGCCCGCCCAAACTGATGAAGCAGCGACTGCGTTCTGTGTCGAAGTTTCTGCAGCCACATGTTACTGAGACACAACAAATTCTGACCAGGCCCTGCTGATGACCTTCAGCATGAGCGAAGGGGTCACCAAGGAGGTGACCAAGGGCAAGCAGCTGCAATGGACCAGTCTGGAGATGATGCCGAACATGGCCGACCTCAAGAAGCGGAGCAACTACCGCTATGCGGCAGCCGGAACCAAGCGCCGCAGAACTTCAACTCTTGCTGAGATGAGCAAGCTCAGGGGCCGGGAGACGTTGCTCCTGGGCCAGGTGGCAGAGGCGAAGGACTTGGAGGCGAAGGTGTTTCGCCACCTGGACTGCCCCATGTTTCTCGGGAAAGCATTAAATAAAGAGCGAGTGCAGTGCAGCAAGTCTATGTGCTTTCCTTACTAGCCAAATGGCCTTGTTGTGTACCGCGCCTGAGGCTTCAGGATACGTCCGCTGGCTGGATTCCCGTCCCGCTTCTTGACCCTAACGATCTTGTCATGGTGACGAAGAAAGAGAAGATGGAGGACGCGGAAGTGATTACATTGTTGCACCTTCCACCACGGAATCATGTGGTTCTTATCTTTTCTCACCTTATAAAGATGGTTAAACTACGATTATAAGAATACTGTGCAGGCGCACGCGAATTTGGTATTGGACAAGAAGGACGTCTGCGCAGGCGCTGATGACGAAGGTGTGGCGTGTGACCTAACGGAAGATGACGTGCTTCCGCTCTGTTACATGGAAAGGCCAACGGCCTTGCTGAAGGAGCTCTTGCACCAGACAAGCGCTGGCCGCGTCGTTTCATTCAGTCCTGGCGCAGCGGATATCATGGAAGCTGCCATCGACATGAGAAAGCAGATCACTGTGATGTGCGTCTCCGTCGAGCAAAAAGAGGTCGTCGAGAGAACCCTGGTCTCTCGGCTGAAAGCACGAATGAACGACCAGACGTCTGAGCGCTTCTTCATCTCAGACAGAAAGCTTGGATTGGAGGAGGAGCCGGCAGCCAATCCGCCCGCGAACTCCAGCCCAGTTTCTAGGTTCGCCAGTGGTTCCATTTGGTTTGTTTATTTTGGGGATATACAGAATTTCTGGGGAAAAAGGGCTTTATGATTCTGGGGCCACTGGGGAACTCAGGTGCAGGCGAATGCCCAGGACGAGGGAGTGGCCACCCCGGAGGCTTTCGGCGGTGAGGCAGAAGATGAGCCTCCGGGCGCCGGGGAGGAGCCGGGTCCGATTTTGCAAGAGTGAGGCACCAGTTGCCAGCCGGCGTGCCGATTTTGAGATGGGTGAAGGAGTTTAACTGCCAGCCGGCTTGTGCTTAGGAGTGACCAAGACACAAGTTGGCTCCCGGCACGCCTGTGCTTTTTAATTGTAGGATCGCCGCAGTGGCAGCAAGATCAAGTGCCCTGGGGTATAGCAGAGCTTTTGCGTCGGACATGTGAGCAGAAGCCATTCAGGCAAAACAAATACAAGATAGTAGGCGTCTGACTCCGGCTGTGATGCAGCCTGTGTTGATAGGCTACCAGGGCGCTGGTTTGGGAGGCAGACCGTGCTTGAAATTGCCTGGTCAAAAAATTGCGGGCAAGGTGATTTGCTTCTCGCGCGTGTGTTACCTGCCAGGCATGCAACGTTGTTCCAAACTGCTACGTCCAAGTTTGCATCAAGCAGGGGTCAGCACGTTCCCAGATCTTCCGAAGCACCGACGGCCGGAGAGCTTTGCAGCCATGCCTTTCGGAGACATCCCCCAGGACATGTTCGACCGCTTCAAAGCCGTTCCAGTACTGGATTCCCTTCATGTGGAGGAGGCTTTGACCCTTGTGCTGGGCAAGAAAAGTGTGACGAAGAAGAACGCAGGCTGCAAGGTCATTGTTTTGGGCCTTGACAAGGATTCGAAGAAGGCTGCCTCCGCCAACGCTGCCGCGACAAGCGAATGTGCAGAATGCCACAAGTCGTCGCCTGCAAAGGGGAGTGGCCAGGGTGGCGCTGACGTGAAGACTGAAAAGTCGGCGCCTGGCAAGGAGAAAAGCAAGGGAAATGGCAAGGGTGGAAAAGGCAAATCGGAGCCGAAGCTTGAGTTGAAGATCGCCCCCGACACGAAAGCCCTTCCGCTACTCACGCAGATCCTTGCGCGATTCCTGAAAGAGAAGTCCGGTGGATCCAAGCCTCACTACTTCAACCGCGTGGTGATCCGTGCTGGGGCAAAGCATGGCCCCAGCAACATGGACATCGGCAACCTTTCTGGTCTCCTGCCGGAGCTGTGGTGGGCCGGAGGCCAGGAAACGGTTCCTCCAGGCCGGTTGCAAGGTTCAGCTTAGGAATATTATGTGACTGTGCGACCGATGCTTTGCCTTTTGAGGTGCACCCTGGTGGAGTGACGGAGAGAGTGTGGGCCTCGCGATCTCAGAGGTCAAGCTTCGCCACGAGGTCAGGTTGCGTCGTGTAGCTGTGCAGGAAAGCAGAAATTGCCCAAATCACGGCACGGCAAGGTCCGCAGCATGGATCCCCGCATTGCCGGCTGTTTTGCTTTTACCAAGTCGGACACAGCGGTGGCCTGCGACGTGAACTTCCCCTTCTACATTCAGGCCAGTGCCTTCGGTGCGGAGGACCTCCGCAGGATGGGAACTGCGGTGATGAGCTTTGAGAAGGAGCTCGAAGGCTTCTTTTAAAAGCATTGGACCGTGTCTGCGCGTTCTCTGCTAAGCCTGCCATTGCCCGATTTTGAAATCCAAGGTCACGGATTTCCAGCATGGAGTGCCTGCGCATCGACGTGCTCCACTCTGCCCAAGCTGCCGCCTGCGTTAGCAGAGAAAGGCGTTCGGATCCGCCTTGCGGTCAGCAAGTACCGCAAGGCACATGAGGTGCCGAAGAGCACCGATGATGATAAGAAGAAGGCTGATAAGAGGAAGCAGTTTTGTCCGAACTGTTGCTGCGAGCAGTGCAAGGCCAAGAAGCAGAAGGTCGAGTGAAGCGGGAGCATCGGTAGGAACGGTGTGAAAAGTGCCGGGAGCTTGCGTCTGTGTGCCCTTCTGATGTTGTCATATAGTCATCGTTGTGAAGTTAAGGAGCTCGAGGCTTCGACAACATTCCCTTTTAGAAAGGTTTCTAACAATGTCACCGAAATTACTCCTGAGACGATGTTCGTCTGGCAAATGTTGATTCCGTTGTCAAATCAAGCCAAGCTAAACAACATGGACGGCGGCACTCGTGGCAGCACAGTCTAGGGCTTGATGGTGCGCAGGTTTGCTCTTGCCTTCTGCTTGAAAGCACAAACCCTGAGGCCTTGAGTTTGCAGCCCGCAGCGCATCGAGTCGGTGTAAGTATTCCTGCTTCCTCCACAGGTGTCACTTCAGGGTCGGGCCATGGCCGCTCCTATCACAGGTTATGCCGTCATTCCTGACTGCCGTAACTTCGCCAGCAACTTCCAGGACATGACGCAGGCCGGCAACTTGAACGCCAAGGAGGACAGACGTGATTCTGAAACCAGCTCGCTTCACTTGAAGCAAGCTAAATGTAAAAGCCGCTATCCCAAATCATTCCTTGAGGAAAAAAGCGGATCCAGTAAGACAAAACCTTATGTTGATGGCCGCAGTGAATGCCACAAATGGGTTTCACAACACGAAGTAGGGAATTAACGATGTAGCCTGCGTATTCCTGTAATGACACTCGGGATGCTTTCAGACAACCCTGGAGACAAACTGACACGAGATATCTGTTTTTGGTTCCCTGGCTAGCATATGTACGCTTGTAACTCTTCGTGTCCTTCTGACAGATGGACAGTGTCCAAAGTGGCGTCAGAGATTGATTTGGGCTTCACACTCAGAGGCTACAAGGTTGATGCATGACGAAGTACGCAGGGTTTTATTACTTACCCTAAGCCCGAAACCATAAAGGGTCTTGTTGCCCTAAACCCTGAACCATCTTGTGCCTCTTGGCTCTCCCAAAGCGTCTCCCTGCAAGCTGATACCCCCCTGGGGCTTACGGTTTAGGGCTTTGGGGTGTAGGCCTTTAAGCCATCCACCCCCAGGATTTGGCGCGCCAACTTGATGACATCTGTCGTCAGCTGGACGCCGTCAGGGAGCCCAGTCCAAACAACTGGGGCTTTAGCCCCGCCTGTAAAAAATGTTACTTGTGAGGGTGATGGTGGCCATTATCGTGGTGATTATGATTAATTGATGATGGTGATGTTGCAGAAGTAAAAAAAGTAGTGGTGCCGGAGGAGGAGGGAGGAGGAGGAGCAACATAAATAATACCATTGCAGTCGCATCAATAATGACGCAGTTTGAACCTTGAGAAGTAACATGTCTGCAGTGATAAGGAAGCGCAAACCCCAAAACCTTAAAACATTGGGTATAGTGGACTCTTCCTTACATTACCGCGCATTTACCCCTCAAAGGCACACTCGGATATAGTAGAGTCTTGCAGAGGCCGAAGGTGCGAGATGGGGTAATTAAAGGTTTGGGGTTTAGGGTTACCCTCCTGCAACATCACCGCGCATAACTCTAACCTGCCCAACACTGTGTATTTGATGATCTAAATCTGAGACCAGCAGCCTGCGCAGAGCTCCAAGCCTTTGGGGAACATTCCGATGCAATGCTTGTATACATCTACGATCCCCAACATCCCATCGCCAACGACATGTTCTTTCGGACAACCCTTGAAAAAAGCCAAAAACATCGCGAACCCCGACAAAATGCCTTAACAGAGAAAGCCAGGAAGCCCAACTCTAATCGCAATATCATACTAATAGTAATAAAACCATACTACGAAGAATATCAAGAACAACAATAACAATGATTAATACTATACTATCATTACTAGGTCTGAAACACAAGCCATCCAGTCGTCGAGCCTTCCCAGGACTATTATTCATACTGTCCTTAGGATTTATTTTGATTTTGAACCAAAAGGATTACAATATTTCCAAGATGGGCCCAAGCAGGTTATAGAGGGATGACTTTTAGCATCAATTCCATCACGCGAGGTGGGCATTTCTCAAAATAACTCTTACAAAGCCCGTAATGAGGACCCCTATATCCCCTTATAATCCCACATTTCCCTTGGGATCCTTGGTAAACTCCCAGGTTTCGGCTTTCGAGAAGGGCCGATTTGGCCGCTCCGCCTCGTGAAAGAGCATCTGGGTTCTTAGGGACCCCAAGGCGAATGTGGAGATTATAAGGGGTGGGCTGATGTCGTGGCTGAACCTGCTGCCAAGCAAGAGACTGGCACTGAAGTTACTGAAGTTAGGCTAGTCACCCATTCTCCGGGTCCGGGCCTTTGGCCAAGCTTCATGGAAACTGCTCCTGGCCCGGGCTCTGTCGCCATTAAACTTATGGACTGTCGCTCTGCGTTGGACGAAAAGCTTGTAAGAGCTCAGTACACGTCCGCGCAGTCCGTGCATAGGACTCAGAGGTAATGCTGATAGTCGTATCCTTGTGCATTCAATTGCACCTTGCTGCTTCCGGCTTCCTTTTCCAGCAACAAGAAGAGTTGACGCAGCGGGAAAACAATAATGAGTGTCATTTTTGTTGACATCGTTATTCTTACACTTAGTTGCTGCTGCTGCTGCTGCTGCAACTGCTGCTGCTGCTGCTGCTGCTGCTGCTGCTGCTGCGGCTGTTGTTGTTGTTGTTGTGGTGGTGGTGGTGGTGGTGGTGGCGGCGGCGGCGGCGGTGGTGCTGGTGGTGCTGGCGGTGGTGGTCGTTCTTGTTCTAGTTCTTGCCGATGCTGCCGCTGCTGTTGCTGTTGCGCTGAGCTCTTGCTCCTGCTTCTGCTGTTCCTGCTGTTCCCTGGGCATTGCTTATTATAAGCTCTGGAGCTTATTGATCATGGTCCAATATCATATTAATGTAATTGATTCTTGGACCCTTAAAATCAATAAGGTAATCAATAAGTTTGGTAGGCTTTTCTCAAGCCAAAATCGAAAGCATAATCAATATATCTCTAAATTATAAAGTCGAGATTTCTAGTCAATATTCAGACCATATAAACCCTGCTGAACCCTATGAACCCAAACAACATATCAGTATCAACCCGGTTTTAGGTTTTGGGTCTTGGGTTTAGGTGTTCGTGTTTTGGGTTTAGGCCTTAGGGTTTTGGGTTGAAATTTTGAGTTGTGGGTTTGGGGTTTTGGGTTCAGGGTTTGGGGGGTAGGGTTTTAGGTTTTGGATGTTGGGTGTATTTTTTAGGCTGTTGGCTTCAGGCTTTAGGGTGGTGGGTTTTGGGTTCAGGGTTTTAGATGCTGGGTTTTGGGTCTAGGTCGGAGGGCTTTGGGTTTTGGGTGTAGCCCAAAAGAGGCAATTTTGGTGGGTCAAAAATGGTTGCCATTTTTGACCACAAACTTGGGGGATCTTGGGGGGCTTGGGAGGG